GCAGGGGGGTTGGAGATTCATGATCCTTGAGGTCCCTTCCAACCCTGGCAATTCTGTGATTCTGTGAAAAAAAGGGCTTGTATAGTACAGTGAATAGAGAACATTATTACACAAGACTGAAAATGTTCCAATACAGTTTGCTCTCTGAACTCCTATTTTGCAATCTGAAAGTTACAGTATTTGCTTGAAGAGCAAACCTATTTTTGGGAGAACCTATTTTTGTCTCCACTTAGTGCCCATCTAGCTCAGATGGCTGTATTTCTCAGGAGTTTTGTTGGTGGTTGTTTTGGGTGGGTTTTTTTTTTGTATTATTATAAACAGGACACTACAGAAGGTTTATACACACACAGAGTCACCCCCTGAACAGCCGTATCAATGAAATGTTTATTTCTCTGTAGCCTAAAAGAGTCTTAAGAAGTTACAAGTGCCAACTTACTACTTAGTATTCCTCCTACTACACCCTTAGTGAGTGTCTTATGGGGCTTTTAGCAAATCAGTGAGAAGAATTCAATAGCAGGCATTACTTGGAGTGAGGGAAAGAAAGTCTTCATCTGCCAGCTACCAGCAGCTTCTTTACAATATTCCCATATTTCCTGAAACAGCAGGGGTCAGCTTGATTTCTCCTCAAGCCAGCTAGCACAAAGGCAAAATAGATGCAATTACGGTTAGTTTCCACTACCACAAATTCCAACTCCAAGAAGAAGTGACCAAAAAGGAATTTGTTCTTGTCACTTAAGACTTTCAAAAAGTAGCAAAGTACTGAACTGTTAATATTCACTGTACAAAGAAACACATCACAACCTATGACAGGCAGATGAATACATTCACAGGAGGCCCTATGCCACTTTCTGTATCAGCCAAAAATTCAACATATAGTAGATAAGCCAAAAGCTATAAAGTAGAGAGGAATTAAACTTCAGATCAGGCATTAATTAACCAATGACTGGAAAGTACCAGAGAAATTTCTGGATTGTGTTCAGGGACACATTCCAAGCAAGACGACAGGAGACTTTCTCCTGTTTGCCATATCTCAGATTTAGCCCTCCAATAGCTATCTGCCAAGATTCTTCTTTTTGCAGCAATGGATAAGACAGTGCCACACACGATTGTAGGAGACCAAGTCAAAGCAATACTCTTCCAAGCCACCATCTGGTTAAGACCTTCTGCAAACCTCAACTAGAAGGCCACTACGCTCACCTTACTCAAGATCTTCTCAAATCCATTTACATCAGGACCCCAGTAATTTAAGTGATAACTATAGCAATTATATATTGAACAACCACCGCCTTAAACACTCTTCTTTATAGAGTAATAGCACACAGCAGCTGGCTTTCCCTCTTCCTCTAATAAGTTTTACCTACTATATTTGTAGTAAAGTCAACAAATACAAAAGTGAACAACTGAAAGACTAAACTACTTATTTATTTCTGCAGGAAAAAGTCCAAGTTACTCACCCTGTTATACATGTATCTAAGCATGAAGTCCAGCAGAAAAGATTTTCCTTTGCGGAAAGCTCCTGCTACAGACACAACTACTATGTTAAGATCTTTGATGTGTTCCTGAAGCAAGATTTTTTCCAATGCTTCTTCATCTAACTCAAAGTTATGGTCATCTTCATGAGCGAGAACAATCTGTATGGGGCGTGGCTTATCCAAATCCACCTCGTCATCTGAATCTGGCATGACATCCGAGTCAGGTAGGGCATCCTCCTCTTCTTCCTCCTCATAATGCTTACCTGTAAATTGACAGGTTAGACTGCATTAGTAAGTCAGAGCTTAAGACACTAGACATTTCTACAAAAACCCACGCTAGGCTTTCATTCCAGCAACAAGAATGATGCTGTTGGGAATGTACATGTGCAGATGAGATCAACAGCTGCTGTCTGTACATTTTCATGACTTCTGCACATAGTCTGCATTTCAGATTCCAGCATTCCACAGGTTTTAAGTAGTCACAGAAGGAAACTGTTTTTCAGCACCAAGACCTATTTTCAAGGCTTCTTATTTGCAACTTGCACTAAAAATTGCAGGTTTCTTCTCCTATCTAGGAAATATTCGTTTGTTTAACACAAGCTCCAAAGAGGTAAAAAAAAAAAAAGCTTAGGTAATCACCCTCTGCTGCTGTCAAAATAAATGTTTTCAGTCCGTTTTGGTTACCAACATGTACAAGCAAAACCAAGATTACAACAGCAGACGATGAAAATTCCTTTCTAATTCCAACACCTGCTTCAGTTCTCAAACACAGCAGAACGCCTGTTCACTGCTTGAAAGAGGAAGAAACCTCACATACATATATAAGGAGTAACATCTTGGGGTCTAAAACAAAGCAAGAAACACCAAAGCAGTTCCCACACTGTTTTTCTGACACATTAAGCATGATTCGATAACAGCAAGTACAGGTTGCTACAAAAAGAAAAAGTTAAAGAATATTGGGAGCTCATTTTATTCACACTAAGAATCAATAATCTTTGAGAGTCCATTCAGCAGCTGAAAGAAAGACAGCTCAGGTCAGATTTAGTTATAGAACTCCATGTGCACAAAGCTGATTGAGGCATCTCCCTAGCAGTTACAAATGTGGGAACATCAGCGTATCAGCTTCACTATGTTGGATGGCTTGTCATGCCTACATTCCCAAGCATGGCTTTTATCAAAGAGAGGAAGCAGCTGTATGTAGGTTTGTTATTACACAGCCCAGCGTTCCCTGTGGAAGCAGACCAGAAGCAGTGTCACAAGGCACCACGGAACCCATGCAGTTGGATTCATACATGGCAGAGATCCTGCCAACATCCACAGGTTGAGCCAAGTCATTCCTGCCAGACTATGCATCCCATCCCCAGCAAAAGACTTTGAACAGTGCTCCAAGGCACTGTTTTGTTGATGTAATGAGACATCTGAATCATTACCATGTACTTGAAAGCCTGGCAACACAGTGACCCTGGAGTTTTTCCAAAAGCTGCCTCTTTAGCCAGTTCTGACAGCATTTCACTTTACTGTAAATTAGAGTGGACAACTCCATTTTCAACCATCGCATCTGTGTTGCTTGAAAGGTCAGAGGCAGTAAATCTTTAAAAATGCACGTATGTATTGCTTTGAATATAATATAAAGCTAGCGTAGAACTTCAGGAGGAAAGATCCTACCTATAAATACCTGGCTTTGTGGCTGGTGCGGTGCCACCACCAAAACATTGGGGGATTTTTGACAATGGGGTGGCCTACGTGGATCTGGGCTTGCAGCCACCAGATTCTTCCCCTTGAAAAAGGTGATATGCGAGTCCTTGGGGAAAAGCTAGTAGGCTTCAAACTAGATTCAGAAGGGGAGGGAGCAATAGTGAGTCTGCTCATGTGCAGATTGCCCAGAGATATGGTAGATTCCTCACCCCTGGAGACATTCGAGGTCAGGCTGGACAGTGACCAGAGCAACCTGATCAAGCTATAGATATGTCTTTTCATTGCACGGGAGATCAACTAGATGACCTTTAAAGGTTTCTTCCAACTCAAATGATTATATGATAATCTTCAGTGTTTAAATCCTAAGGAGCTAGAGTCAAGTTATCCAGCATTATCCAAGCGAGTGCACAGAACAGCTCCCAGCAGCACCCTAACCCAGTCTGGCTGACAAAGCAGGCCAAAACATTCAGCTGCACCCACAAGCCTGACAAACAGGAGTAGCTTTAAGATTAGCTATCAGTTGGACACCAAAGTACATTGACAATACTGGTCACTATTTCAGAAGAAAAACTGCACCTTCTTCCTAAAGCTTTATTCTTCTCAGAAGTTAAATGCACACTTTTTTTTGAAAGAGTTTCACAAAACAATTTGCCCCATATAGGAAGCATTCTTTGTAGGTCAAAAAACACAGGAAGATGGACCTTGTCTTTTTGACAGAAAGGAAGAGAATAATTCTATTGATAAAAAACATTTTACGGCAAAAAAAATTCTAGCGAAGTATCTCTCTGCTTTTACGTATTCCCTAGACGTTTAACTCTGCTTCATAAAAGCCTTTTATTCTTAAATCTGTTCCATTTCAACTGCAATAAAGCATCAGTTTTGTAAACTAAAATAGACTGTGTTGTGTTTTTTATTATCAGGGCAGTGAGGCACCAGCACAGACTGCCCAGAGATGCAGTGGATGCCCCATCCCTGGAGACTTTCAAGGCAAGCTGGATCAGGCACTGGGCTACCTGATCTAGCAGTGCAGGTCCCTGTTCATTGCAGGAGAGTTGGACTAGGTGACCTTTAAAGGCCCCTTCCAAGGCTAAGGATTCTATGATTCTACAACTTCAAGTAACATCTGCGATTTCTCTTCACTGAATAGCAGCCAGACACTAACCACCTTTTCCTTCCTGGAAGTCATCAGAACCTTAGCAGATCTCAAAGCTTGAGCCTTAGCAACATTCTTCTGCCTACACAGAGAGCAGCCACCCAAAGCCTCCTCAAGCCCAAACACTTTCCAGACAAACAAGTAGCGTGATCTTTTATCATTAGGTTTTTTCCTAAACAAACATTCTCCCTATCACAAGTTGATACTGCTATCAAGAGCTTGGATATGATAGGTCTGCTAAAGGTCCACAATGCCTTGTTAATAGTCTTCCGTACCCTGCAGCTTAAATAACAGAGTATGGAAGTTTAATCTCTGGTCCTGTTCAATGTCCATTATATTTTGCTCACCAATAGAGACTAGAAAGTGAAGTCCAATGCATCAAGTTAGGAGGCAGAGTGGGTTGGTTTGGGATATTCTTTTGTTGGGTTGTTTAGTTTTTGTTGCTTTTTTCCCCCTTTGGGGGAGGGGGGAGAAGGTCACACTACACAGCTTAATATATCTCAAAGTTCCCAAACTGCCTACAGAAAACACTATCATAGCCATGAATCAAGCACTTTGAGGGTGGAGAACTACAGTGTTGACAGCTGTGAAGGAAATTTGATCCATCCAGAAGAGCTGGTTTCATAAATCCATTCTCAGGTGGCACAGAATACCCTTCCTTTCAAGAGATTTTAAACCAGTTAACTGGACAGACATTGCAATGTTAAATATGGTAACTGTGGAACAAGTACTACTGCTCAGCCCAGCAAGATAACCAACATATGCTAACCTACCACTGGCTCCCAGGCAGATATCACAAGATATCTGGCCTCTTGATATTACTTTCTGATTGCTTACCCTGTCACTTTGCTAGCTGCTGTCTCAGGTAGCACTGGAATACTCTGGAAAGCTTCCTTGGAGGCTTCGGAGTCCTGGGCAGAAGGATTGCATTCCACTTCCAAGAATTACTTCCATAGCAGTGTCTCGAAACAATGATTAGGAGAAGTCCCACTCCACAGTCCAATTTTCATCAAAAGCTGCAGGAGCATTACAGTGAGCCTGCATGTAGCTCATAAAAGAAACGTGCAGAGCACTGTCAAGTCAAGCCAGGATTGATAAAATGCAGAATACTCCTTACTGCACTACTCGCTGTTGGTTGGGTGTTCTTGTTTTTTCTGGTTGGTTTGGTGCATTGGTTTTTTTTCCATTCCTCACCTATCCCAGCACAGACATAGTGCATAAATACCAAGTCAGAACTTATGTGCATTTGTCCTGCAGCCTCATCTAAGGGCCACACACTGCTGTAGGTTCTTCCAGTACTCCAACAAACCAAGTATAAGCAGTGGCTTTCCCAGTATGGTCATCCCTGCACTGGCGTGTTTCTAGACAACTAGAATAGTTGTGAATTCACCAAGCTCATGGCAACATCTCTGTATAGGTCTCCATGACAGGGCATTCAGTACTGCAGAAGCAGCAACCAAAGTAGTTGAATTCTGTTGCCTTGGGTGGACTTTTTGTTAATTTTTGTTGTCAGCTCTTTTTTGTTTTAAAAAGCTTGACACTGTGGGGAAGTCTAGATCCATTCCAGAAATGGGGTTATGGTCCCAGTGCACTCATTCACAAGCACTTAGAGAAGAGTGCTTTCAGAAGCACGGCATAAGGCTTGTCTCAATGTTGGAAATGCCCATCTGCACAGAACACTGGACCGAAGGCTTTCAGTACCTACAGAAAAGCTCTCATCTGACAAAACATGTGGCATTTATAGAGCAGTGTTAGCAGGCCCAGAAAGCCACAGCTAAGTTTTTTCCAAGCAGTACATCCGTTCTTTGAAGCTTCTGCACTACTAAACTAACGTACTTTGGACTATAGTCACATTCTTTGCTCTGGAAGAAGCTGATGCAGAAAGATCACTGACTGGACTTGCCCTGAAACCTGCTGTCCACTCAGCCCTATGACTATAGCAATTTGTTAATCACTCCCTACTCTATTTCAGCCCCTCACAACCTGAATAATTCAGATTAAGAATTTGAGCTACTACAATAGCTTCCTAAGCCAGGTCAAACACCCTAGGAGATGCAGGAGAAGCAATGCACAAAATTGGACAGACTTGAATGGAAGCAGATACAGCCACAGGAACCAACTATGCCCAGCTTCCCCAGAAGTTCTGCATTCTGCTCAGCAACCACTACAGCAGGACTACTGACACAACAGCTAAGTATCCAAAACAAGCAACATTTGTTGAAATGCTAAGCCAGATTTTGAGAACAGTAACTTCTTGTGTAGGTAGAGAATATTTCAATTGAACAAACTCAACTAAATAACCCATTTCTTAAAGTATGAAGTAAAATGAACAAAAGCTAATTCCTGCTTCCCCTAAGGGCACAGTGAGCAGCTGATGACCTATTTGTCCTCCAGTGTAAGAACATGGGAGCAAGAGCTCAACTTGCATGCTATGAAAATAAAAGAGACAGCCTGCTTTGAATGCTTAGGAGGAGGAACCCACATATTCATCGAACCCAAGCATCAGATCTATCTTTAAGCTTCAACCCAAACAGAGCCTGAGCAGGTTAAACACGTCACTCACACTCTTTCATAAGGTTAAAAAAATTACATAATTACTAAATTCAGTTAGTGTTAGATATAGTGTGTTTCTGATCAACAAACACCACATATAGGCATCTCTGGACACTGGAGCTGACACATTAAAATAAGCTTTGTTTGCTCTTTAGTAGCTCTATAAACAGTCGGCTAAATCAGTCACTTTCATTTAGTGTAGATGGTGCATCAGTATTCCTTCTATTTGCTCTCTCAAGGAGTTACAGAGACATGAGAAAGCCTAAGCCTCCAAGCTAGTAGTCTTGGAATCTTGTTCACTTGAAAGCCCACACTTTGGTGGAAGTTTTGGTGGAAGTCTTGCTTCTTCAGCTCTCAGCACCCCTGAACCACTCTCCTGATCATCCACAGACACACAGATCTGTGGCCACACAAAACGACCTAAATCTCCCCCCTGAGTGTAGATGCACCATCACTTTCTCCACACAACTGAATGGCAAAGCAAGCTGAAGTGGACTGCACTGATCTTAAACCATCCAGCTTGAAATTCTGGTGTACTTCGACAGCCTGTGGAAGTTTGCAGCTTTAATTAAAAGCTTAAAACGAGGTCTTATGAAGAAATCATTGCACCACATTTAAAAATAATGCATTCTCTCAGAGCTTCACCTAGGAAATTTTCATTAGAGAGAAAGGAAACAAATTATTTAAGTGCTTCTCATTTTGGTGTAGTGAACCAAGGAGAGCGTAGGCAGGTATAAATTAAGTTCCAGAGCATAGAAAAAAAGTAGGTTAACTTCCAAGCCTTATTTGAAAAAGACAAAAAACCTGACACATCCACAACTTTAAAAATAAATTAAAAAAAAAAAATCACTAGATTTAAGCCCAAATCCTCCTCTCAGTCCTACTCCATGCAGTTAACTCACAGCAAGATTCACATGAAAGTTAAGGGGCTGCTGCAGAACTTAATGCATCATTGCTTTCTCACTGCTGACTAGCAAATACTGCCAAGTAGCTCATTTTAAGGCCAGAAATAATTAAATGTTTTGAATATTTCAGCTATAAATAGGACTGACAAGCTAAGTTCCAAAGACTTGTTTGGATACCCAACAAGACTGACAGAGGAGAACGGGGGAGGGGGAAAGAAAGTCATGTTTAACTCCCTCTCTTCCTTCAGGGCAATGGGATGTTGAGGGAGGGATCTAGAACTGTTACATAAAGTACTAGAAGAAGCAAAAAGAACCTGAAGCCACAGTTCTGCCAGCAAAGAGGGGGGAAAAAGATACTCTGATGACCTAAATAACTAATCAGACAATAGGCCTGTCTACTCCTGAAGTGCTTCCCCTGTTGAATGATCATCACGCACAGAGGAGCAGAGTCAGCTCTCCCATCGCCATGCAAAGTACTTGTAAGCTGGCATTTTGCATTCTCCATTTAAGGGGGGAGAGAGGCTAAAGGGCAACTTCACTGTAATGAAGAGCAAGAAAAGTTAACCTTCCAATTCAGCTATATTCAGTAACACCAAGAAGCAGAGGCTAAGACAGAAGCAGCACAACCCCTAACTCAATCTCAGAAAACAAGTAGCAAAAAACTGTATATAAAAGAACTGCTTTCCTGAAAGCACATCATGAACTTAGAGAGATGTTTCTCCATAGCTACAAAGAAAAACTTGGAAGGAGTGATAGCGACAAAGCATGCTCCTCAGCTCTCTTCCTCTCTGCCTAAAAACCACAGCTATTATTAGCATATCACTGGAGAGTACAACAGGATCTCTACCTACTAAAAGGTTTATCAGCATTTTTCCAGCCCCCTCAAAGGACGTTACTTCAGAACACTAAGACTAAGGTACACAAAATTATTAACCTTTTCTTCCTTTTCTCACCATATCCAAGTTCTTGAGGATGGGAACAAGCATATAGCAGATGTGGCAATGCCTGCGTTCACCACAGATTCTAACACTGCCAAATGAAAGGTGTACAAAAACTGCCACCTCACTGGATCCTTGTAGGCCATTACAGACACAAAACAGAGTTGAAGATCAGAGTATGACACTATTTCATGTTGCTGCTCATCCTAGAAGATTCAAGCAGCATTTTCTAATCATTTTAGGCTGTAATTACATGTTACGTACATTATGCGTAGTTCTCACACATCAGCAGCTACTAATTCAGAGAATCATTAGTTATCCCAAACCACAGTTTTGAGTGGGGATGGGGAGATAAGAGTAAGGTGAAAGATGCCAGCTGCAACTATCCCATGTTTGATCATTAGATTACTAGCCAGAATAGGTTAAACCACCAGCCCCATCTGCACTGTGTTCACAGAAGAGCCCAAGGAAGTGCTCAATTGGGCTGTACAAGCAGCTAGGTCAGAGGGCCAGTTTTCATATTCATTTCCAGGATAAACAAGATGTCAGTAGGAATACCAACAGGTTTAAGAAAGAGAGCAATTCAAAGAGGCTTTAATTTTTCTTTTTTTGCTCAGACTATGCTTTTGATCTGAATCTAAGTAAAAATGATCCTTCAGTCCAGTCTCCAGCTTACACCCAGCTTCCTGCCTTCCCTTCAAAACATGCAGCTCGGGAAGCCTCCCATCCAGCTTTTCCAGCATGGAATGCAGTAATTTAGTTTTATTACAGACTTCTAGAATAAATTTCAAAGAGCTAAGAACTGTACAGGAGTAACTGCATTTACATTAAGAAATTGCCTTCTCTAGATCACGTACCTAGCAAAAATGCATATACTAACTACCTTCAGACATCTTGAGGGGGTATTTCAATTCCTCCCCCTCTCTGTGTCACGGAAAATGGTTCTTAAGCTGGTGGTATCGCAAACACACACATGCACCAGGTGAAACCAAAGCATGACCGAGGAAAACACATGCAAAGTTAGTGCCCAGAACGAGAAGCAGAATCAAAACAGTAGAAAATAAAGCAGACCATGTAAATCACATTTTAGGGAGAACTGAAACAAAAGCAAGAACAACATATTTTGCACTGAAGGAAGAGACTGTTTTCACAAGGCTACAACACAAACAGTTTTCACAGTCCCCACTGCTAACCATGCACAGAAAGAGCCTTGAGCTGCCCTATCACAGTTCTGCAGCTGATCCACAATAGATGATACAGCACCTCATCGAGCCCAAGTTCTCCAGAACCCCACACTCACTCTCCACCACTGCCGAGTCTCCACCAGGCATCGTCGCTGCTGCACAGAAGTCCTCTGCTAAGACAACAACTCAAAGTACACTTCTCTTGCCAACAAGACAGTGCCAGTACCTGCCTCCTCCCTCCCTGCCGCCTCTTCACAACTGAGCTTTAACCTCCCACTCACACGTGGGCTCTCCCACTCCTTCTCATTTCCAGCACCAATACACAGCCTTTCAGGCTAGCTTTGCCACATATCCAACTCTGCTAAGAGGCAAACCAGTTAAATTATACCACAGCAGAAAAAGTAGAAAGCGATTCATATTGGATTGCAAGCTGTAACAGTTCAACAAGTAGTTGAGGTGAAGAAGAACAAACAGCATAGCTACACAACTTTGTTATCTGACCCCAGAACGTAGTTCATCAGTATTGCTGAACCGTACAGGTCAGCTGCCATCCAAGTTGGCACCACTGTCCTTGGTCCCCACAAAAGCTTATCTTGAAGAAACACAAGGTGATGCTGTGCACCCTACAGCCCCTGAAACAGCTGTGCCAGCACAAGTGAGGGGGAGGCACAAGCTGCTTGACTCAGCACTGGCGCTAAAAGGCAAGTTGGGCTTTGTGATTACAGCCTAAGCAAGCTGGAACACTTCTCCCATCCCCAAAAAGCTGAAGTGCATTTAAGAAGCATGTTCATGTAGCAAGTCAACGATACATGATAATGCTGCAAAGAAGGGTAGACAACTGGGCTGTAACTGGATCAGACACTGTGTTGCCAAAGATTTGTCTCAAGCTGAAAGAGTTCAGATTTAGATTCAGATAGCCAATACACTTTTTAATAGTCACTGAACAGGGTTCCCCTCGTCTGTATATGCAGTTAAACACCAGCCTGGGTTTTGTCAATAAGGTAGGTCAGGTTGTGCAATTGTTGGGAAGACCTTGAGGTCTCCCTGTCCCTCCTGCACTGGAAGAAGCTGCCCTTGAACGTACCTACTGAATGCACTCAGCCTGCTAACAGCAGTCTCCGCTACGTGATTTTTGAAATTGCAGCTGTTAAATTGTCATAAGGATGCTGTAAAACTTTTTCTCTTCAATATCTCAGTGCCACGCAACAAGCACCTTTGCATTAGTTCAAAGGGCTCCAGACTTACCTATTTACCTAGTGTTCTGTACCATCTTGTCCAACACTTGTTACCACAGCAGCCTCTGTGATAACTGAGAGCCTGAACAAGAACTTTGTTGTTAACAGTACTTTTCTGAAACAGTAAACGCCATTGTTACCTGTATGCCAAGGGTTGTGAAAGTCAAACTCAGCAAAGTATAGCACTAGGGGGAGAAAGATGATAATCCCAGATGAAAAGCAAGCCACACCATTCTCCTGATCCAAACAACATGTAAGGGGAGCAAGTTACTATTTCTTTTTACTTCCAGTTCTCAGTGTGAGTATATCCAGGCAAGACAACTACTTTTCTGCAGCACGCTGTACGTTGGAAGTACACTTTTATAGCCATCTTTCACTTGGGTAAAGGAAGAGAGAAATACGTGACTGTCTGCAGACTGAATGTTTAACACCTCAGCAGCCAACAGTTTTCTTCTGCAGAGCATATTCAGTGATGCCATTCTGTGGGTTCAGAAAATCCTTCATTAGAGCATGTAGAAGATAAATAGGGGGAAGATAAGTCCAAGTCTACAAAAAGAACCAAAACAGAGATCGATAGTTGCTTTTTTAGATCTCACAAAGGCTTCATGTGGTCAGTTCTAGTATGCTACAGGAATGAGAAATCAGCAAGAGTTTGCATCACCAAACAGCTCAGTTTGATATTTGATTAATGAAACAGTGATATGTCTGCAACTCAAAGTACTTAGACTGAATGTTATTCTTAGAGTCTCAGTGCATCACATGAGCCAACTTCCAACCTCTTTAAATGCAGGAGGCTGAATTTCAAGGCTCTTCTCAAAGAAGCAGGATTTCTGGTAGGACTTGAAGGTATTTAGGCACATCTGCTAAGAGCCACTTATTTCTGTAGCACTACTAGTTCTAGAGGATAGCCCAGTTTGGTGCCCCAGCTGCTAAAAGCATTACTGAATGCCTTTTTCCCAAACAATTACTGTACTAATCAGTCTGACGCACCAGCGTTTAGGAACATTTCCTTTTATGTATTTTGTACTGCATTCCCTCCCTTATCCCTGTGGCAACCTTAAGACTTCACTGCCTGAAAGATACGTGATAACTGCCTCAAGGGCAACTTTCAGGCCAGGTTTGGAGTAACACTGTTGGCGTTACTAAAAACAATTCCACCAGGTTTGTTCTAAACCCAAAAGTTTAAGAAAACATTTCTCTTAAAAACAAAATAACTTCCCAAGTGATTTCACGTACTTTGAGTGATTGTTCGCACCCCGAAATCAGTACTACAATGATTTCTGCATTAGGCAGAGGATTTACAAATGTTATCTTTCACTTCCCCCAGTTATCTAAGGTTCCACAAGTAGATCTCACTACACAGACAAAGTGAGACAGTCACAAGCAAAAGCCAGAGGAGTTTTTTTTTTCTTTTTTTTTTTTTGCTTTTTATTTTTTACATC